TATTGTCCAAACGTGTGTTATCAGACGTTAATTCATCGATCTTACAAGTTGATATACAAACTTTTAATAATTCCACCAAACGTGACAATTTTCACGTTCAATAATAACAATAATAATAAATTTCCGATAACAAGATAAGCCCCTTTCCATCCCTCCTCCCCACCACACCCTTCCCCACTCTTCAGACACACACGTCACGTTTCCTGTTTTTATTAATAAATTATTCGCATTAAAGTGTGAAAGAAAGAAAGATAGAACAAAAAAAGAAGAAAATAAAATAAAAAGATGGATAGAAGATATTCGTGTGTCAACGTTTCACGTGATCAATATAAATAGTAATACACTCTTAAAATAATCATACGAATATGTATGTGTATGTGTTCGAATACCAGAAATAATTTCTAATACCTGTTCATCTCATTCTCATTCACTTCTATTATACTTAATTCTCATTTTATTTCTCTATTCTATGTTTTCTTTTTTTTTTTTTTTTTTAATTTATTTTTTATTTATCGTATCTTTCAACGGATATCATTATCACATGGATGTTAGAATAACACATGGTGTACCTTGTCGAGAATAATTGTTATTAACCATACAGACGATTTAGAAGCTTTTATTAAGATAACGATCATTTGACTTGCTCGTAATTTCACGTACGATTCTCATCCGTGATATACGTTTACGTTAGAAAGAGCATATGCTTTTATACACACATATACATATATAGATAGAGATATAAATATACATAGAAAACATGATGTATATTAAAGTATGTTAAAGTCCAGGTGAAATTCATTTTATTGTCACTGCAAACCCACTGTCTTACGAATTAATCTCAAACTTTTATTTATCTTTATCTTTTACCATAAAATGTGTTTAAGGTGTTAATATTACTAGTGTATAGTTCGCATAGTTTTTTTTTTCTTTTTTTTTTAACTAGGATCTTCTATAAAAAGGTAGGAAAGTGATACGTACATTTATGTTACGTGTAAATACCAAAAGTTTTCAACTCATTTGACACGGTGTATCTTTCAAAACGAGATTCGGGGGGCGGGGGAGGGAGGGCGGGGAGGGAGTTATTTCTAATGTGAGTATGTAAAAATGTTTTTAACTGGTAGTCTTATCGGTGCAACATGAAATTTAAACGATGTGGTATTAACAAATGTCTACTTTTAAAATGATTGGTTGGTTTAAGAAGATAGTGTTGGTAACAGAAAGAGATAGAGATAGAAATGATTAACGTTTTAGTATGGTATCGAGTCTCGCAACGTTTCAATAATTTTTGGGGAAACATCCGTTAGAGATAATAACGAATGGATTTATAAAACAGGTTCTTTTATTTTCGTTTTTTTTTTCTTTCTATTTTTTTGGTTTTTTTTTCTTTTCCATCTGTGTGTCGCGTGTCCCTATTAAATTTCTTAGAATCGATGAGCTAACTTTTAGTTTCTAGTAATTCTCTTCTTCTTCTTCTTATTTTTCTAATTTTTTTATTTTTTTTTTTTTTTTTTTATATATTACAAACAAATTAACACAAACTGACAATAAGTATTTATCATTTGTTTAAAATCTAAAAGTAATAAAAAATGATTACAAACTAAATATAAATCATTGAAATAATAATAAATTAATATCAATATAAATGACACCAACGAATTATTACAAAATAAATACAAATCTTAGAAAACTTTAGAAACATGATTGATTACAAATGTCAATTTTATTTGAAAAAAAAAAAAAAAACGTTGATCAATAAAATAATGAAAAAAAATATGATTACCAAAAACTAACAAGATAGATCCTTTCATTAATGACAAATGATTATTCATTTTCGTTAATCCATATCATTTGAAAGTATCCATTAAAAGCAACTCAACTTTCTCGCCTCTCTAACGTCCATTAACTTGATCGAAGTTAATATCTCATCGAGTCATTTTGGTAAAAAAGCGAGTCGCGCAAAAGGATTCTTGCTCAGCGTGTGTCGTAATACTTGTATTCCGTTCTCTCCACGAGTTCAAGATTTATCCTTTCGTGAGATGGAGACGAAAAGGGTCTCTCTGCAGTTTCTCTACGACACAAACACACATACACATACACATATATATATATATATATAGAGAGAGAGAGAGATACATTGTATCTTTTTCTCTCATTCTCGATCGAGACGATCGTCCCGGTTGTCACTTGGGAGAGACAGGGAACCTCGTTCATGAATATTCTAAAGGTTATTTTGACTTCGATTGGTAGATTGGTAGAGAAGTAAGTATGTGGGACTCCAACTGTGTGTTATAGAAACTCATTCTGTAAAAAGGGCTTAACTTATCTACGTATAATTCACATTTCTAAAACCTATCGTTTTGATTTGATATTTTCTTTTATTTTTTTTTTTTCTTATTTTATTATTATTTTCAAATTCGAATATACAATTTATTGGTAGACATTGTGTTAAGTATTAAAATGAATCGTTTGATATATGTTAAAGTCAAAGTAGAATGGACATAAAAATTACGAAGATAAAAAAGAAAGAAAAAAAAACAACAGAGAGATAGAGAAAGAAAGAGAAAGAAAAAAAGGGACATTGAAAAGTATACCTAGTGGTGAAGAATAACGGATGCTTATTAAATTCGTTGTTCATGAAAATGACAACTACGGTGTATCCGCACTACACGCGGTAGGATACTCGAACCGACTTGTCGCATAATCGCGTGCCATTTGTCATACGACTCGTGTCATTTCGCTTAGAGAACTTGACGAGCTCACTCGAGGACGAATAACCTGACCTAAAGAGAGAGTAGATGTGACAGAGAAATAGAGAGAGAGAGAGAGAGAGAGATAGTGGTCAAAATAACGACGTGGATAGAAAAAAAAAAAAATCAAAATAAAATAGAAAACAAGCGAAGGATGAATAGCTTTTCATATGTTTCAAAAATATTCACTGTATATATATTTTTCGTTTGAATTATTCACATTCCATGCAATATTCCCATAAATTCTCACTTTTTGTTTAACACTAAACGTGACTAATATTAATAATATTTAGAACAAATATTATTAAATTATTATTATATATTTCATGAATTTAACTTGAAAATATTATTTATAACAAAATTATATTTATATAATATATAATAATATAATATTAGTAATTAAATATTAATGTATATATATATATAAAGTTCTATTATATTAATAATGTAATATAAAATAATATTTAAATAAATTATATAAATATCATTTCGTATTATATGTATATAATACAAAATTAAGTAGATACAAAAGTAATTTACAGAAAAAATAATCATCTATGTTGATTCTGTAATATAACTGTAAAAACGAGTTTAGGGGGTACAGAAAATTCTGAAGTAGGGGAAATATTACTTGCAACAATAATACGTATATAATTTTAATTTAAAACAATAATAATTAATTTAAAAAATAATTCATAAAACAACCACCTATTCTAATATCAATTTTAAAAATCCAAAAATACAGTTAACCTCTCTCCTATCATTCTCTCTTCGACTATTGTTCTCTTTCATAAAATAAAAAAAAAACAATGCAAAGAACAAATAAAAAATTAAATAAATAAATAAATAAATAAATAAAAAGAAAAAAGACAAAACTTTAAGAAAGGTTGTACTTATGTATCGGGTGTGTCGATCGTATTGGAATGTATGCCGGACATGTCCACCCGGTGAGACACAGTAATCGTAGTATCGATATAAAGGTATGCGTGCAAGAGGTTTTAGATCCACACCATACAGTGGCAAACACACATTATACCAACACAAACCTACATAAGTATATATATATGCAAAAAAAAACATGGTAATACTCTGTTAAGAAGTTAGACGGTGTTTTACTGTTCGACCTTTTTGTTTTACCCCCACTCCAACTTATGTGCGTTTAGAGTAGCACCTCTCTAAACCGGTTAGGTTCCTAACAGTATCAACAGTATCACTACTGATCCGCCTTCTTGTAATTGCGAGTCACACGATTGTGTTCTTATGCTCTATAACGTTAGATAAAATGATAGAAAAAAAAAAGAAAAAAGATAAAAATATAAATAGCATGAACGCGCGTGCACAGAATTGTTTATCTAACCTACCTAATCGGTTAAGACTAGAGAATGATTTTAAATGCGGATCTCAAATTCTAATCGTACTATTCTATCGATAATTCGACCTTTGAACTTTTACTTTGCCAATGCTCGTTAAAACTTACTTCAATTTTACCCCCATCGAGATAGTCACGTGATTATTTACATATACATATATCTATATGGTATTATAATGTTTCTACGTGTGTATGTATATATGTGTTTAGAAAGAGAAGTAGATAATAATAGGCCTGTAATGGATGGAAATTCGACTCATAGGATTGCAAACTTGTATCCTACGTTCCGGCTTCCTTTACTGATTCGTAATTGGAGCGAGAAATAATATATATTACAACTGGTATTACAACTGATAATACTGGACAATCATCTTACTGGATTCATAAATGTTGACGGAATAATAATGAAATATTTAAAACCAATTTGTCTTAAAAGTTTCGAAAGAAATTGTACAGTTATTTTTTTTCATGTAAAAACTGAGGTTAGAATATATTATTGTTGTTTAGTCAGATAGATTTTGATCAAACTAAACACCAGTTTGTTATCATTTCGTATTTCTATTATATTATTGCGCTCACTATAACAAATAACCCATAAAAGAATAAAAATATACGAGCTTACTACGTTAAAGGTTAGAATGACTTGTAACCTCCATAGAAATATTTGTAAAGTTGTACGCATGCGTACAACTCATATTCCGAAAGTTCCTTCAAACTCACCCACTTGCACAAACAACTAACCCCACCTTCTACTTTCTCCACCCCTTTTTCATGAATAGTATAACCTAATTAAGGTTATCAATAATTATTTACTTGAAACTACGAATGAATTGAAAATAACATCGAACAGATTAAAACGATTTTTATGTTTTCTTTTATTTCAGGTTTAAAAAACAGTACCGTGATGGAACATGAACGTGACAAGGACGGGAAACAAGTTAAAAGAAGTCAACAATCTTGGGATTGCAAGTACTTGCAATCCTCCTACGATATCCTGAAATTTATTGTCGTTATCTTGGCACGAATGAAAGTGGAAAAAGGACAGAAAACGTAGTAAAAAGGAATCAGAAAGCTCGATTTTCGGTATCCATAAATCTAACCCTTGATCTCCGCAAGGTGTAAGGATTGGACTATTGGGGACTAGGAGGGGTAAAGTAGAGTGAGAAATGGGTTACTAAGAATAGGGGGGGTGGTAATGGCTTAGAGAAGATTTAGGAATTAGAGGAATTACGTTGAAGTGCCTGCACGTGCACGAGTAAGCGAGAAAGAACAATGAAAGTTAGGTCAAAGAAGAGAAAAATAAAACAGATCAAATAAAAAGACTATTCATTCGGGATTGAAAATTATGAATATGGTATTGAAGAAAATATCAAGGTCAGTGATAACCGTTCTTGTTCGTCGCATATCGAACGATTGATTAACTTCACCTATACTCTTGTCGACATAATAGTTGTAAATATAGATAAAAAAAAAAAAAAAAAAAACAAGAAAAGGAAACAGAAAAAAAAGCAATTGAAACCGGGAAAATAAGAGCAAAGAATGAGAGAGGGGGTGGATTAGGTTGAGAGGGGTTTTTTTTTAAGAGAATTCGATCAATTAGTCGTGCAAATCTTAAACCCTTAAATCGGCCATAGCAAAAGGTATACTTTTTAAATGAAATATCTACAACGGGCAACGTGCAAAGTATATAGAAATAACAACTTCCGGATATTATTAATTATTATTCGAAATGCGCCTATGTAAGTCCGAACGGGCCAAAGATCTTCTTCGTTGATACTCAACGAGTGTGTGTGTGTCTGTATTACCATAAGTGAAAAAGAGATAGTTAATTAAAAAAAAGGAACAATTTAATATCCTGGATGAGAGTATAATACTAATAATCGTATTACGCGTTATTATGATGGGGAATTGTACATGGTGTTGTTTGTTTGTTTGTTTTCATTATTTTGTTTAATAATCGAATAATACGAGGTAAAAGTTAGACAAAACAAAAAAATAACAAATTTTCTTGTGTTTCGTCAATCATTGTTACGATTATTATTATTTTATCGATGGTTTTGGTCGACCAAGCCTCTCGTGGGCCATCAGCTTTCGAAGAACGGAGATACCTGGACTACTGGCTACAACAAATACTACTACTTCAACTGCTAACTAAAAAAATACTACTACTACTACTGCTACTACTACTACTATTACTATTACTACTACTACTACACTATTACACTACTACTACTACTATTACCTACCTACCTACCAACTACTTACATGCCTAGATACCTGTTACTGGACTTTAAAGCACGAAATAATGAACTTTTCTAATAAAGTGTAATTATATCTCATTTGACTATCACATCGACTCTTTTTCAAACACGATTCGAATTAATTATATATATATGTATGTATGTATGCGTGTACACAGTAATCCTTTCATTTACACGGACTCACAATCCATGATGTGTTCACCTTGGATTACGTGAAAACACTAATTTTGGGGATTTTCTTATGATAGTTTAATTTTATTCATAAATTTGTTAATTAGTTGGAATATAAATATAAATTTGAAAAATGTGGAACTGGTTTCTTATTTTAAACGATTTTTTATGATTCAATCTACTCACTGTTTCCTTCATTTTTTTTTTTTTTTGGAACTAATTAAACGCGTAAATTGAGGGATTACTGTATATATAATTATATTTAATGAATTATATAAAGTAATTGTCTCTGAATATGAAACACTGTAACACATTCAGGGTTTATCAGTCTACAAAATTAACTTAAATTCTTTCAAATTTAGGTTAGTTTCAGTGATTCATTCGCCATTTTAAGTCGTTTCATTTTTTTTCAACTTTGGAATTACAATTATAGGTTAATCAAGACAAATATTTTATTTTTTTTAAGCAAACAATCTTATTCGCGATTAAATAGATTTTTTTTTTCATTTAATTAACAGTTTTATTACAATTTTTTAAATAATTTGTTTCTATTTGGATCATAAAAAAATATTTGATATTTCGAATGTGATTTACGTACAAAATGTGAAACATAAAACCAAAAAGGTAACAAAATTAGTTTCAAAACCAGTGAAATTAATTTTAAATATTTGTCAATTGACATTTTAAATATTCAAAAAATATACAACAATATTTTTACAGTCGTTGAAAAATATTGTAATTTTAAACGACAAATTTGATTATAACCTACAATAATTAATCAATTTTATTATTTACTTTAACACAAAATGATGAAGAATCGAATTTATTTTAAATAAATGATTAACAATCGAATTTATTAAAAAAAAATGATTTAACAAGCATGTTTCATTTTAGAGAACGATTACAATAATATATGTAAATATAAATATTAAAATAACAAAATCATCACATTGAAACGCGTATTACACATGTGAACACACACGAAACAATGTATACTACACACATAATATATATATATATAAATATAAACAAAAGTGGATTATAAGAATGGGGTGAAGTATACGAACGCGACACACACAAGCGTCGATTTACTATACCGTAGAATATATTTATAGATAAGGCTGTACCTACACACACACACACACACAACAAAACATACTTACTCTCGCTGAATGTCGCGAATTATCATCGAGATTAAAGCTCCTTATGAACAAATACACACACACACACACGCACACAAATACACATATACACAATATTAAAAAAGAATAACACTTTCGTGAATTCCGCAATCGCAGAACGTACTCGTGTAGATAAAAATGAAAATAAGAAAATAAGAAGATAAATCATTGGCGCAGATGATGAAAGTGAGAAGGTTGAGGAGTGGGGAGAAAGATGAAGGAGTGGGGAGAAAGATGAAGAAGTGGGGAGCTGGAGTAAGAATAAAGGGTGGGGAGGAAGAGGTAAATAAAGATAAACGATCATAGATCGTTCAATTCGCAACGATGATTGAAATATTTTGTGCACGGTTTACGAAATTGTTGATATTTTTTTATAACGGTATAAGGTTCTTTCTACTTTTTTTTATTTTTATTATTTTTTATTTTCAACAAAATGAAAAGAAAAAAAATAAAATTTGAGAAGAAAAACAAAAAGAAAAAAAAAGAATTTCGATTAGCAGTGATTTCGTCATCGTCACGTTTTCAGAAAAAAGAAGATAAACAAAAAATTATTAAAAACAAGAAATAAAATAAAATAAAAATACAAATCCTCGTGGGGATTATTTATCAAGCATCGTTGCGCGTCGTAAGATTTGTTTAAACGAACAAACAAAAAAATATTAAAATAAAGTATAAAATAAATGAATAAAAAAGAAAAGAAAAAAAAAAAAAGGTAAAAACAAAAAAAAGAAAAATACTAAACAGAAAATCGACTATCATTTTGTACTTTGGCATATACGATATAAAAAAATTGCGAGCTAGTAAAAGATAGAATGAATAAATGAATGAATGAATGAAAGATCGAATGAATGTTAGAATGAGTGAAAAAGAGAACAACAAATGTAAAAGAAAGAAAGAAAGAAAGAAAATGATAGAATGAATCTTCGTAAGTGTGTTGTAAATGGTGATGGTGTAGCGTAAAAAGAAGAAGAAGAATAAAATAAAAAAAAAAATTGTACATTGTTTTGTAAAGAATACATTTATTTATATCTGTGATAAAAAGAGAAAAAGGGGATAAAAGTAAAAGAAATGAAAAATGAAATAAGAACTAATTAAATAAAATTAAAATATGAATAAATAAATAAATAAATAAATAAATAAAATGAATAGAAAGATCACAAAGTGTTGCGATATATATTATAAATAAAAATAGGTTGTACGTATACACATATACATACACACACACACACACACAAGCAGACAGCAGACAGACAGACACAAACACACATTACATACGAATTGTCGCATATAAACACACTTTTTACACGTATAAATTACATATGTGCGGGGTAATAATCTGACGAGAACGTTTTACGGTGCTCGTGAAAATTCACTTACACACACGCGTAATATATCATATTAGTTATAATTATTGACGAACAATGTTCTTTTTGTACATAAGCAGAGTATAGAACTTGATGAACGGAGAGGTTCGATTTATGACGTTTAGATCGATCATTGTTTATCGATCTTTTAGGTGCAAGGTTGTTGTTAGCATTGAAATATAAATGAAATGAAAAATAATATTAAATGATAAAATATAAATAAAATTGTAATTAAACACTGTTGCACCTACGTCATTGAACCTATTTGTTGTGAATATATTATATAAAAAATTATTATATATAAATAAATAAATAAATAAATATATAAGTATATATATATATATATATATATTATATATATATAAATATTATACATACATACAGTACAGGTATTTAGGTAAACGTGTACACATTATTAGATGAATAAGTTTCATTCGGTTGATCGTACGAATTCGATTGTAAATTAATTAATGAAAAAATTGTACATAGCTCTAAATGTGAATATAGACAGATGTATCTATTATTAATATTATTATTATTATCTCATCATCGTCACCAATATCGCATTATGTTGTTATTATTATTATTATTATTATTGCTATTATTATTATTAATATTATTATTATTATTATTAATATTACTATTATTTTTAACATTATTATATTATTATTTTATTATTATAATTATAATTATAATTATTAATTATTATTATTATTATTATTATTGTCTACTACATTATAGATTCATATTATATTAAAAAGGAGACTATTATGTTGTATGTGTCAATTTTTATTTTTAATGTACTTTTTTTTTTTTACAAATCCCTTTCTTTTACCATCAAACTGAATTATTGAATAATTATTAATAATTACCGAATTTCGATTATTTTTTGTTCTCTTTTTATTTTTTAATTTTGAATTATTTTTCAATTTCGTAGCGAGTTAAATTTACATTTAATTATTGCAAGGAAAAAGGGTTTATAAAAGAAATAAATTTTCTATACAGAAATATTGACAATTAGATGTTTTTTAAACTTGTATTTTATAAATGGAATTACGGAATCAGAGATTTCAATGCTAGGAGAAGAAACGTTTAAGCCAATGAAGTTTAATGATTGTATCAGATTTATTGAAAGAATTCAGGCAAGTTTTATTTTTATCATTAAAAAAAAAGAAAAAATTATGAACATCTGTGATAAAATCGAAATTCTAATCTCAAATTAGAAAAAAGAAAAGTACGTAAAAAATTTATTTTTCTTTTTCGTAATTATTGAATATTTTGTTCATATTTATGATGTAAAATCGAAAAAGAATTTTGTTTCCATATGGTTTTTTTTAGTTACAAACATTTTACAATTTTTAAAAGATGTCTTATGATTTTGGAAATGCAAAAAAAAATATTCAACATAATTAATTAATTTTTTATTTAATTTTTTCTACATTGTGTTTTGCATAGTTTAAAAAGTAGTATTTAACAATATTACGTTGTTAATACAAAAATAAATGATCAGATATTTTTAGATACTATAATGATTAAATTACATTCTCTTCTTAACATTACATTTAATAAATTATGTAATGTTGGCAAAAAAAAAAAAAGAAAAAAAAAGAATCCTATACTTCACTGGTTAATTTTTTTATTTTTTATTTTTTTATATTCGACAAAAAAAAGAAACGAAGACTGCTTGTTAATTTTAAAACAGAAATTTAAATATTATCGCAATTAATTTATCTCTCATCATTAAAAGTGAATAGAAGAAATTTATAACTAATTTCAGAAAGAAAGAAAAAAAAAGACAGAAGTCGAAAAGTTCAATGATTTATTTATTTTTTATCCTTGAAAAATAACAAAAAAAAATAAAATTAAAATAAAATATAATCCTTAAATCTAATCCAACATTACTTCATATTTTAATAATAAATAATCCTTGTGAGACTAGCGATGGAATTTATGATTTAAAAAAAAAAAAAATATTCAAATGTCATAATTAATTGATTTCATTTTTTTTTT